GTCAAGATCACTATTGAATTGCAGACAAACAAACCGGTTTTGAAAACTACCCAAAATTGATCAAAATCGTCAACAACAGGAAAAAAAGACCAATTCTTGATTTTAACTTGATACCTAATTTCTCTCTATTGTGTGTGTGCGCGCATGGTTTTTTTTTTTTTTTTTTTTCACTTTTCAGGGTTACATAAATAATGTTGATGTAAATTGTACTATTAAAAATTGAAGTTTAACAATAAATAACAATTTCAAAAAAAAAAATAATTAACGAATTTTTAATAATGAACAAATAAAGTTGAAAACAGGTTATATGTAAGATATGATCAATGATAAGGCATGTACACAAAAAAAGAAAAAATGAAAGGACTTCGGCAATAATTGAAAAATAAACGAAATATAAATCCAAATAAATATGAGAAAAAATGTTCTTAAAAAGAATTATTTAATAAATATATTTTGATATTAATTCATTTATTAATTTACGTGTGAAAATAAATTTTATTATAGTTATTAACTTCTTAAAATAAATGTTTTTTTATATATATAATGAGTATTATTCAAATCATTCATAACTAAATGAATCCTAATGATATGCACAAAAGAAAAAAAATTAAATGATGGTAGCTTAGTTAGTAGCAATGGAGCTGAGTAAGGGGAAAGGAAAAGATTTCAATTCGATCTCCACATATCGTCTTTTGGAAGGGGTTTAAATATCTTCATCTTTGATTCGCCCTGCATTCCGGATTAGTCTCGTAATAGGCTAAAAGAGTTGAAGGCTTATGGGATACCGAAGAAAACCAACTCGCCTCAAGGATATAATTAGGATTCGGTTAACTCGAATAAAAAAAAATCCTAATGACTTAAAGGACAATAATACAATAATATTGATAACAAATTTTATTCAAAAACGAATGAGTAAAACAAGGGGGGAAAAATTTGATCCACTCCCATTGATGTTAGGGTTGGCAAAACGGGCCAACCCGAGTCGACCGGACCCAACCCATTTGCCACCCGAAAAAAATGAGCTAAGTAAGGGTTGACTCGGAAACAAAAAAAGCTAAAAAATCCAACCCAACCCGATTCGGGTTAAAGTTAGCTTACAGGTTGGCTCGAAAGAATGGGAAAAAAATAGCATTTATCACACTCATCCAATATATGTGGTGGAAAGCTAAGAAAATGATTTTTATTTGATATAAGATATTTACTGCAATGGAAAACAATTGATATAAGATATTTAGTTGTTGAATATAATTAAATTAACAAGTTACAAAACCAAAACAACAACTCAAAATATATCACACAAGGTCCAATACTTCATTAAAAGTTTCCAAACAAAATATTCCAAGTCCAACAAGACATAATGCTAAACCAAATCAAGTTTCATGAGCTTTTAGGGAATGGCAACGGCAACCGCGACGACAAGTATGTTTTTGGGATTTAGTCTTTAGGTTTTTTACTTTCTTCAAATAGATCTGGTCCCCTTATTATTCTTGTATATTTTTTAATAAATAAAAAAGATAACTCGCGAGCTAAGCTGTTTAACCTGTGGATTGACTCAATTTTTTTTGGAGCTGACTCTGATTATTAGCTTATTTTTACAAATTCAACCCGGCTCATTTTACGTGGGTTACGAGCCAACCTTCGTTTTTGCCACCCCTAATTGATGTTAGGTTCTTTATATTAATGCACATCTGGTCAATATAGATAAAGCGCAATAATATTAAAACGCTAAAAAGCATATAAATGCACAATATTTCTAATATTACGATCTTATGTTTCAGCTAAAAATTCTCAAATGATATTACCATATTAAAATCATATATATAAAATGATTTATTCCCATTAATATTATCTTTTAACTTTTAAAGGCTGAAAAGTAGGGACAAAAATAGACTATACGGTCTATTAAAGGCCTATATGCCACATATATGTCAGACTAAAGTTGACATAACATATTCACTAGAACAAGCTTAAGTCTTAAAAAAACTCATTTACAAAATAAGGTATAGACCTATTTTTACAATATCTGGCCAAGAAGATTCTAAGCAAAACAATATTATATTATTTAATTTAATGAAAATAAGTAAATAAATTTTATTTTTATATATAATTTAATTAATAATATAATATTATTTTATTTATTTTTCTAATTCTTGATAGTTATTGAAGGTTTGATAGGTTTAAACAAGTTAATAAGCAACACTTTTTGAATTTTTTTTAACATAGAACAGATCAGATTTATAATTTAGCTTATATCAAACTAATAGTTTAAGTTCGACTTAAAAATATTTTACATAAACCTCATTTATTTAAATCGATACTCATTTAAAATATTTTACCAAAATTAACTATCCATCACCTTTACACGCAAGTGTAACTCCAAGTAGAGGTGTAATTGAGTCTGCCAATTCAATACTATGTCCATTCGATCAAAAATGAATCAACAAAATTGTCTTTTTTTTAGCATCTAATTTTTGATTTTATGAATCTATATAAATATAAAAATTATATCTATTTGAATTGATTCATAATCAAATTTAATAATCCATTTTTTTAAAAAAAAAAATTGGATTATTAAATGAATATTCTTTTTGATACAAAATTCAAAATTAGTGTCATTACTCTTGCTGATCAATAAAAATATCTATAAAAAAGACGGGCCTTATATGATACAAAACTCGTTTATACCGCTAACTTAAAAAAAAAAGAGCTTAATAGGGGCCTATGGCTCGCCGTCAGATCAAGCTCGACCTATTAAATATAATCAAATAGAATAAGCTCAGATATAAAAAAAAACTTATTTAAAAAGCAGGTCAATAGTTTTCTTTTACATACAAGGTCTATATCTTATTATTTATTTTATTTAATAAATAAATTATTATTTTAAATAATATTTGTAATTATTCAATGTCTAATAAACTTAAACAGGCTAATCAGTTTATGCCAAATTTTTTAATTTTTAAATATAAGTCAGGCTAAAATTATAATTTTGGCCTATAGAAGTTAATAATTTAGGCCGGGTTAAAAATATTCTAGACAAACCTAATTTATTTAAACCAAAATTTACCAAAAAAAAATCTAATCAAATTCAACCTATTTACATCCCTAACTCCGAGCAGAGGATCACCAACAGACACATTTGGATTTCTTTTGGGGGTAAACGGGCACATCTGTAATTTCATTGTGATTGCTATAGAATATAAATTTTGGTCAGCATGCAGCGTGCGATACGTCATCTAATTCCTTTTGTCGACGCCAAACACCGCGTTATGGAAAAGTCAAACGCCATCAACCTTTTACAGCAAATCAGCAATTTCTTACGATTGTCAACATCTAAACACTTTCAATTTTCATCATTTTTATAAAATATTATGGGTACATCGGATATATTTTGTTATAGGATATCTGTAATTTATTTTTAATTATATATTTTTTTAAATATATAATTATAATATTAAAATTATTTTTTTTAGCTATATATTTAAAAAAATATATAATTAAAAAATAATTACAATAATGAATAATATTTATTATTCCTATATTATGATTCTTATATTTCCAGAAAATCATACTCTTTCGTGGTTCAACGGCCAAGATCTCACCAACCCCACCCTTTCCAGTTGCCCCACATCACTCATTGATTTTCAAAAATCATATAGCATAAAAAAAATATCCTATAATCAACTCTAATAATAGTTCATGCTTCTTTACATTTATATTTGTTTTAAGTTTTATTTAACATTCTTAAGTGCAAGCTTAAGTTTTCTTAATTTTTAAGAAAAAAGTCATTTTTTTTCAAAGTTCTTCAAATAAAATTTTAAGAAGTTGTGTGTTTTAGATTTTTGTAGAACTAGTTTTAAAAACAAATAATTTATATTTTAGAAAAATATTTTAACAATAAGCTTAGAAGAATTAATTTTGTTTGAATGATAAAAAAAAAAATCACTTTTGAAGTGTAAACAAAAAATATTTTCAAAATTACACTTAAAACGAAATATTTTACAAGTAATTTACTTTGCTCAATTTCAATCCTAATTGTCACCAAATTAATTTTAAAAATTCAAAATTTTATCCAAACAATTATAAACTATATTTTTAAAGCGAATGTTTTTTTTACAGGTATCTTCCACAAGAGAAAAATATGTTTGAAGTGAAAATATTCACGTCATGATGAGACTAACCTTAAATCCTTAATGAGTTTATTGTTTCTTTATCAATATGATATAAAATAATTTTCATCCACGGCAAAAAAATTATATTATTTTGGGGATTAAGGAAATTAATAAAGGATATTTTTTATATAATTCATATAACAAGAAATAAATAAAATTCTGAAAATATCATTTGTTAATTCTCTTAATCCTCAAACGTAATTTTAAAATTGACGGGATAACTTTTCTCGTGTTGGTGGAAAAACAATAAACTCATCATAAATATATAATAAGCTAATTTAAATACATGCTAAAATTTAATTTTCATGTTTACTTTTTTAATCCTATGAGTTAAACCGTTATTAATTGTATAAAATTGAGCTAAAAGAATTGACAGGTTCTAGAGCAATTGCATATTAGTTCACGAAGACCACGATGATGATGATGAGCGTGACACCATCCTATCATCATTAATCATGTTGGAGACAACGGTGTTGTTTCACCTACCAAACATACAAAAAGCAAACCAAGAAATTAAGCACTAGTAAAAAATTATTATTGTTATTATTATGGGCTTTATTAACCTGACGTGACATAAGAGAAGTTCTTTTATGTTATAGAGATAGTTATGAGTGAGACCCACTCACTTAAAGAAAGAGAAAAAAAAAAAAATAACACTGAAGTCGATATATGTGTAGGAGAGAAAAATACTCTCATACAACATAAGATAATATTTTTCCTATTATTATGCTATTAGTAGCTAAACTAATCAATTCAATGTGCAAAGTACACATTATAATTATATATATGTAAGACATATGTGTATATATATAGCTTGTGCTCCCTTCCCATTTCGCTAACATCAACTTCAGTGCTTTGTTTAAGTGACACAACGAATCACAGAGAGAGACACACAGAGACCTTGGAAGACTTCATCAATGGCTGTCAAACTTTATATTGTGTATGTTTTTTTAAACTTTTTATTTTTTTTGGTAATTAGAATTTTACTTTTGAACTTTGTTTATATTCTCTGTTAATCTCTTATTTGTACTGTCCTTGTCGTTAGTGCTGTTTTTTTTTTAATACCTTTTTTTTCTGGTCCCTTGTTTTGCCATTCATGCTGATCAAGATGGGATTTTGGATACTGGGTTTTCTTCACTTCTTCAATGGGTTCCTAAATTTCAAACCTTTTGGAAATTCATTGAAGATCTGGGGGTGTAAGAATTTTTTCTTTTCGATCTGATGCATTGTTGGTTTGACTGTGTTCTTCTGTATGCTCTGTAATGGAGTGTTGTTCAGTTTGATCGTTGGGGGAAGAAGTATCTGTTTCTTTTTGGGTTTGTTGGGAATAATATATCAGCAGAATGGCGTTGATGAAACAGAATGTCTTTTGAAAGTTTGTTAGTTTTGATGCTTTTTCTGTTTGAATTGTTCTGCATTTTGTTTGGTAGTAATCATAACCTTTCTCTGCGCAATTGCACACCTTCAAATTATTTTTCATTTGTTTCTTTTTCTGATTTGAGTTGGATTTTATTAAGAAAAAAATGATGACAACAGAATTAAGATATTTACAAACTCTTTGTGTACTAGATAGCTTGTTTTACTGATGGTGCCATCATTTCTCTTGCAATACCTAACAGTTATCACATCAGACACGATTCTAATTGCACTATTGTATTGTGTGTGAAAATCTCAGTTATATATCTGAAGTAGGTATCAAACTTGGCATTTTCATTTGTAGGCAACATGTAAAATAACTAGAATGAAGGAAAATGATTAATTCTTCAGTATGGTTCCATAGATCTCTAGTTGCAATACTAAAAGTCTAAAACAATAGTTATTGGATGTCACAATCAATACTAAAACAATAGTTATTTATGAACATACACACATATGCATGTGCAAATACATAATATCTAAAGAAACAGAAATCCTTATGAAGCGTGCTTTTGCCTCTTTCGTTACCTACCTGGCTGCTATTTTCATCAGAAAAGAAAAATGAATATAGAAAATCAGAGAACAAAGTTACTTTCATATTTTTCTGTAAGTTTTCTACAAGAGTAATTTTATTCAGGAATCCCTCTATTGGTAATGATTGTTATCAAATGGGGAAAAAAGGATGGCCAGTGTAAATTGATCTTCATCTTCCAAAATTTCTAGCTTTTTAATATGTTTGTTGATGCCAGCAAGATAAGTTGGCAATCAATTTAGGGTGGACGGAGTAGAGATTCGAAAAGGAAACTATTAAGTCTTTCTTTTGGTTTTCTAATTGACTAATTCCACTGCTTGCAAGTGTATTTATTGTCTTTTGAAGTAGAGGTTACCAAATTTTACTGCTTAATGATTAAAAGGTTATTGAGGATGAAAACTTTTGACAGCCATGGGAATTCCCATGGCACCCCATCCAGAACACATCACTTTGCTAATGTTTTCAAAGTTAAATGAGGATCATAAGTATCTCTCTCCTGCCCAATCATTTAGGGCTGTTCTAACTTTTAACAAAGGTTTTTCTATGATATACTGGTTCTGATGATTGGACAGTTGGACTTGTGTTCCTATGTTATGGTTCAACCATGATGTTTTTGTTGAAGGCTTTATTGACTTTGTCTATATTTGTTAATTTCATGGTGGCCTTGCTTGTTACTATTTTGAGTTCAATTTTCATGGACATGAGTGCAATTCATGTCATAAGTTCCTTTGGTATGGGCTACAATGTAAGTCAGGATAATAAGTAACCGAAATTCATTGAACTTATTTTTTAAACTGACACAATTTTGATTACTAGGCCAACAAAGGACCTGGGGTTTATGTTTCCAAACTAATAAGCAAACTTACAAAAGTAGGCTGTCTTTTCTAAATGACAAAGTAGGGATAATTAAAGTATTTGTTTATTGGTTGAAATTGGAAATTTTAGATTACATATATGAAATTTATATAAGTAATTTAGGAATTGGGTGTTCAGAGGTTGATGAATGCTCAGTTTATCACGCATTTGATCCATCTAAATGATTAGCAAATACTGCAATCATCTTTTCTAGGAAAAAAATAAAAATCTTATGCACTCTTGTTTATACATAATTCTACTGTTAAATTGCTATCTTTTGTGTTTATACTAGCCATTAGTTTTGTTGATCTGCATTTCCTCTTCTTCTTTTTTTATTGTCAATGAGTATTGCTCAATTCCCCTTTCATTTCATCAGCAAAGTGAATTACTAAACATGTTTCTCTAAGCTTTAATAACAAAATGTAAAATTTACATTGCTTTGACAGGTACTACTCCATGTATGGACATGTGGAGAAATTGGCAGAAGAAATTAAGAAAGGGGCTGCTTCTGTAGAAGGTGTTGAGGCCAAATTATGGCAGGCATGTATTAATGTTTCATATTTTACATTTCCTGTGTGGAGCCTTGGCACAATGGTTGGTGTTGTTGTCACATGACTTGAAAGGTCACATAGTCGAATCATGTAATCAGTCTCTTGCAAATGCAAGGTAAGGCTGCTTACTATTGATCCACACAACTGGTCTGACCCTTCTGTTTCCCCTGCACATAACGGGAGTTTTATAGCACCAGTTTGCCCTTTTATTTTACATCCATGGGAATTCCATTGTGTAATAGCATGAAAGTTGTGAATGGGGTGCTACATCAGTTCCGGATACAAGGCTTATTCTTATGTAGAGCAGATAAATGCTTTAAAAAAATAAAATAAACTGCTTGTATGACTCTCATTGCACTGTAAGGTTGATCATTGGTTTTCAACTCAATATCATTGTTCCTGCCATCCAAGTCACATAGTTTTAAATTTTCTGTTGGCTAGGTTCCTTCATTCTGACCATATATTCCTATTACCCATGAGCCTTCAGATAATTTTCTTTATTACTTCTTGTCACTTCTACGGCCCCAATGTTCTTTCAAAGCTACCTTTATAAGTGCTATATATCTGGAGGATCTCTGGCCTTTGGTTTCAGAATAATTCTTGTATGATCAATTTTGGTGTACTGAGAGTTAAACTTTACTCCCCAAATTCACTCTTAATAAATTTGAGAAGGGATGTAAGCATTTTTTCTGGCCATGATATTGTAAACAATTTCATTATCAAAAGAACAGAGCTCTTGCTGACTATATTAAACCTTTGAACAGGTACCTGAGACACTGCAAGATGAGGTGCTTGGTAAGATGAGTGCACCACCCAAGAGTGATACACCAGTCATTACCCCCAATGAACTCTCTGAAGCTGATGGCTTTGTTTTCGGCTTCCCAACGAGATTTGGAATGATGGCTGCTCAGTTTAAAGCTTTTCTAGATGCCACTGGAGGCTTATGGAGAACACAACAGCTTGCTGGCAAGCCTGCTGGAATCTTCTACAGCACCGGTTCTCAAGGTGGTGGACAAGAGACTACAGCGTAAGAGCCTCTACCGGAGTGTTCATCTCAAATACTCAATTACCATGATGAATCAAATATTAATGTTATGAAACTTGTGTTATCCCTGACAGGCTTACAGCTATCACTCAGCTGGTTCATCATGGAATGATATTTGTTCCAATAGGATATACATTTGGTGCTGGCATGTTTGAGATGGAGCAAGTGAAAGGTGGAAGTCCATATGGTGCAGGAACTTATGCTGGTGATGGCTCAAGACAACCAAGTGAGCTTGAGTTGGAGCAAGCATTCCACCAAGGGAAGTATATTGCCACCATCACAAAGAAGCTCAAGGAAGCTGCATAATGTTGCATTCATATAGACATACTATTAAACAAATACCGTAGTAATGCTTGAAAACCATTACCCATTTTTTAGCATTGAAATATATTGAGTTATATCTGCAAGTAACCTTTTTTTTTTTCTTATTTATTTTCGAAAAGAAAATGCTTTGTATGCGTGTTACTTGATTGCAGTGGTTGCAATTTGTTGAATGATGAAAGTTTGTTTGTCTTGTCCTTTTGTTTTAGGCTGAGAAAATACTTGTTCTCATCTTTTGTATTCCCCCTTAATGCCAATAAGCAAGCACATATACATTGCAGCGACCAGTTTGAGCAGAGGGCTTTATTATTCTCTTGAATATAGTAAAGATTGCATGTTTGAAGAACTTAATATGTGCATATTAATGTGTGCTATAAGGATGTAAATGGAGAAAAATGAAAATGAAAGTTGAAGATAATGGATCTTATCAATATCATCCCTATTAACATTAGCTTATTGAAACGGTGCCGAAAGCAAATGTGGTTACTTTGTCACTTGGAACTAACAGTGCTTAATTATGTAAAGGACAATAGTACACCTTTACTTCACATTACAAACCTTCCAATACTTCATTATGTATATTGTCGGTTTGGATTATATTAGACATAGCTTAGGTCTCTTAAATTCTTCAAAAATGAAAGTGGTTTTGATCAGATTATCACGACCAATTTGACAACTTATCACCTCCTCCATTTCTAACAGTTGCATTTTAGTCAATTTTTGTCATCAGACCCTCTTCCATATCTTCTTTAATCTACAAGTTTAACCATGATTTCTTAACACTTTTTTTTGCACTTAGTTATATAAAATAAAATAAATTTGTTATGTACATGATTGAAATAAATAGGTACTTACTGATTAGACAGTCCGTGCCACAGAAAAAGGCAGTCTTGAAAAGAAATATTCTGGTACACATTGGTTTTCCTTTCTATTTGTTGTGAATGAAATCCATTGTCATGTGATTCACAGAGCTTTTTTGCATTGTTGTCCATTTTTTGTCCCATTTTTTCCCTTCCTATTATTAGTTTGTGTCCATGAGCTTCTACTTCTGGCTTTGCAGCATCTAGTTCCATCATTTCATGACAAAAAGTGCCTGCCCTGACATCTTTTTTTAACATGCTAAGCTAGCCACGCTCATGAATTTCAGCAGTAATTTATTTATTTTTGGATTCCAACGACACTGTCCTTTTAAACATGATGAAGAAGCCCTGACATTACCCATGACGCGCTGAAAAACTTGGAATGGAATCTGCATAATAGTTACATACAGTCTTAACTTATAGTGTGGATAGATAACAAATCTTTAGTACTACTGAAGTAATATGTACATCCTTTCAAAAAAAATAAAAAAATTGAGATTTAGATGAAAATAAAAATAAAAATGTTGGTTTAAATAAGGATAAAATTTTTCTTTTTAAGTAAAGGGAAGTATCGAATTCGGTACTCCTGTAGTAGGAAAAATTCATGGATAGATAAGCTTAAGCTCATTGTTCTCTTCACTGCTTAAAAAAATGCTCAACGTGACCATAGCTATAACTGAAAGCTAGGAATCTTTAGACAATTGATATAGCCCTAAATAATTTGATGATTCTATTCCTTCTCTTTTTTTTATCCATATGAACTTTGGTATCATTGACATTCATTGATTAGTGATAATGAGTTTGGGTAGTTTGTATGAGATTACATGTTCGAATCTCAATGCCATTATTATATTAAAAAAAAAAAACTTGATCAAACAGTGAGAAAAACTAAAATGTATCAATTATTTTCGAAATAAATATGCTTGAGCTATTAAGTATGTACCTTAATGTATATATTACCCTACTCTGCTGCTACCTGAGGAGTACAAAATCGTAGCAAAGAAAAATGGTTTATGCTAGCTCCTTCCCTTGTTTGTTATTCACTTCTTATCTCTTTCAAATTATATACCTTAATGCCAAATGCTTTCCACATAAATAAACAACGCATGCGAAAAGGCAGATTCTTCTTATTATTTACTTTTAAGTTAAATAAATAAACACAAAGTGCTCAAATATGACAATTTGTTAGTGAAGACAAATTTTATAGAAAGTAATTAGGCTTATAAAATAGCGTGGAGCCCCATTACAGGCTAGCTTAATTAACATAATAATGACTAATGCTTAGAGGCTCCATCTTTTGCATTAGTCTTATATTTGGATCGCTAGACAAGTTAGAAAGTGAGATTTGGTAAAGTACCTTTAATCACAAGGGCGCCACCCACCTGGACCATAACAAAATCGTTTGAATTACTCTCCGGCCAATAGCTGCAAAGGTAAAGTTGGTGTTTTTGAAGATATACCAATCATATAGTTTTTTTTTTTAGATATCAATCACTTTTAAAAACTTTAATAGGTCCTACTAATTCAATTTTAAGTTTGAATCTCTTAATTTTTTTTTGGGAGTTACGAATCTCCGGAATCAAACTCATTACTCTTTGAGTAAGTCAAATCCTGCGATCTAGATGAGTCACCGTTAAACCAACAACTCTTAAATTTTTTTTTTACCATGGTTTTAAATTAAGACTATGGTTTGCTTTGTCAATTGTTGTTATTATTTATTTGCCTTCTTTTTTGTCCAAGATAATACAAAAAACGGAAGACTAGCATTAAGGTCTCTCTCTGTCTTTTCATATATTAAAAATTGGGTTTTTTTTTTTTTTATGTTCCTGAAAAGAAAATATATAATTATAATCGATTGATACAAAAAATTTTTTTGCAGCAACATAAGAAATACATTTTCTTTAAAAAATTATGTTGAACATTGTACCTCAAAAAAAAAAATATTATATCGAACCTTAGAATTCGGATTTCTAAAAACTCGCACTCAACCACTGGTACTATGATTGATCAGCTCAGGTAAATTAATTAAAGCTCTAGTGATGATCCCAAGTTGAAAATAATATTTTTCTTTAAACCCAAGGTACATATATTTTCTTTACTTCGTACGTTCATTTGAATTTCTTGAAGAATCTTCATGTTCTTTTGAAAAGAAAAAAAAAATAGATAATGACGGGCACATACTTCATTCAAAATGAGGACCATATCTGTCCTCATCCAGAAGTCCACCGAAGATAAAAAAAAATATTTATGAATTTTCTCTTCTTTTTTTTCTTATTTTTTCTATCCATACTTCCAATGGAAGCCCCTCTATGTGACCATTCGGTATAAAGCACAAAAGCATGTGAAAAAGCATCTGCAAAATATAAATATCTTTCTAATTATTCATTCTGATAAAAAAATAATAATAATTTGATTTGAAAAACCAAAAAGGGAGAATGTGGGCCACCCTCTGACTTCCACTTACTTATTCCAAAGACATAAACAAATCAAAAGTGAGATTTTTCCAATCAAATGACGTATCCATTCATTCACTCTTGTATTCTATATTTCAATGATTCCTTCAAATTAGATTTATTTTCTCTTGAAAACTAAAGGTAGTGCCAGCTCTATTCACAATATCTCTCAACAAGAAATTAATAAAGCTCCTTTATCTTTCTACTAACAACAATTTTCCTTCTTAATGTTTAGTCTATGAAGTAAGAAATTCCCCTATATTCAGCAACTTTGTCATTCCTAATCCCCCACCCCTTGTAAGGCATAATTCTTGAATTATTACAACAATTTATTGTGTTCCCAATGGTCCCAATATTGCACAAACCCTGCCATAACTCTGAATGTAGTTGGCCCCAACAATGGGTCAATGGCCTCTCTTTTTTGTATAGTCATTTCCCTTTCTTTCTCTTTCAAAACATTTCCCTCCCATTCTCTCTTTTATTATCTTTTCCACAACTCAGCAAGTATTAACTAACTTTACGTATACTTGTGGGCTTCCGTGTCCTCTTTCTTTGTTTCTCTTTTCCTACATCTTATCATTCCCAACTTGGCCAGGTTTGATAAGGTGTGACATGCATGTCCTAGCTAGTTGCAGAGTATTTGGTTCCGTGCCCCAATTCTCCATCATTATCTGGAAGACCCTCCATATGTTGGTGTCCAAAAATCAACTGTGGTTTCATGAGTCACTGGAAATGTACTCGAAACTGGCACCAAGCATAGCCCTCGGCTTCTAAGATCTTGCTTTGGACCCTCAGCTTCCTTTGATTTACCAGAACTCTGCATTATAAGGCAAAAAAACATCAAAGAACAAATTTCGTACACAAAAGTCATTTGGACTTGAAGTGTAGATATTGTACTAGCTGCACGGGTAAATTTTTTATTTATCTTGTGCTTACTTAACTCCACCACAAGGTAGGGAGCGGTGAGGATCAAACTTGTGACCAATTGATCATTTCAGCTTTGATATCATATAAAAAATTATTTCAACCCAAAATCTTAAAATATTATATAAGGTTACGTTAATAATTTTATATCTCCGTAACAAAGGTTACACAGTCTAATCCTTGCATTCTTTATAAAGAAACTGTTTTCCAAACTTTAATGCTTAACCTTCCAATCACAAGAAGCAACTTTGTTGTTGCTCCAAGTCTGATAAGAAAAAATAATAATAATAACTGCGTGACCTCCCGATCGCAAGGAGCAACTTTGTTGTTGCCCCAAGTCTCGATAAGAAAAAAAATAATAATAATAATAACTCCTAAACTTGGAATAAGATATCAGCATCATTGCAAGATAATAATATTATTATTATTACTACTCGAAACGATATTTTGATGTGGAAATATAAATAAATGTACGTATGCTACCTGTTGTGTCTGTATTGGTGCTCCACTTTTCATATACGGGGTGCTTAAAACCTATAGAGAAAAACGTAAAACATAAATCCATAAGATGAAAGTTTTTGAGTTTTTTAATTAAGAATATAATAATGGGTAATGAGACTTACAGTGACCTGTTCATGGAGGAATTTGATGTATTCAATGGCTTCAGATAGCACTGAGGCTGTATCAGTCTGACACAATATAACAGTTTTTTAAACTTTTATCAATAAACAGCATTAGTATAAGTATCAAAACCGCTATAATCTTTATTTTTTTTCTTTCCCACTTTATTATATGACATAAATTCACAAAGGAAATGATCATTTACTTAGTAGGCTATGTAGATAATTTTATTGGAAGCTTACCTTTCCGAAAGGCGACACTAATTGTTGGAGTGCAGTGATTCTGTCCCCCATCTTCTCTTTTCTCACCTAAGAAGCAAGAAAGTAGAATTACAGGTTCACATACTTGTTTATGGATTCAATTGAAGGATAAAAAATTAAAGATAAAGATAAAGATAGAAAGCTTCCCATTCTTGTTAAAAGGTTAGTTGCACTTATTGTACCTTAAAAGCTGGCAAAGGAGATGGGGTTTCGTTACGAGGCCTTTTGGGTGTTGGCTCACTCCCACTTTTCCTTGCCACAGCACTTGACTCCCTAACTTCAGATATATTCTGCAAAACCATGAGTATATATATGAATTAAAAACTTTATACTTGACCACATCAAATGCAATGTTTCAATTCAACCATAAAATAATAGATCATCAATATGGTGTTATATATACATATATACATGTCAAATGCATTTTAGTAGTAGTACCTTTGACTGTGCATCAAAATTTGGAGTGGAGAATTGGGGTTGCAATGAAGGGAAGAAGCTGGACCGAACATCTTTGATGGAAGCAGCATCAGAGTTGTTCCAAAAGGGAGCGTTGTTGGTGAAATGCAACTGGTTATTTGGTATTTGTTTTGGAGGTGAAGCTCTCAAGAATTGAGGAGGTTTAGACCATGAATGAATCAACTCATTAGAGTTTAATCCATAGCTTGTTGGGCATTGAAAAGTACTCATGGGGCGATTATCAAAGGAAGCTTGATGGGGTTGATGATTATTGTGATCAGGTCCTAATAGTCCTTGTAATATTGATGTGTTCCCATATAAAGCTGCTGAGGAATCCATTGGAAAAGTAGAGGACAAACCTTGGCTTGTAACAGTGCTGTCCCCAGAACTATATTGAGGACTAAACTGGTTTTGTTCTAAAGAGAAACCCCTATTTACTTGCTTGAATTCATTCGTTGGAGACTCTGTAGAGAACAACTTCTCTGACCTCCATTGAACTTGAGACAACCCCATCTCAGTTTCTTGCTGAAAATTTGTTCTTGATGAGCTCAAATTCTCTTGCAGCATCGACCTGAAACTGTTCTCTGTACCCTTCTCACCTCTTCTACCAGCATAAACAAAAAAAAAAAAAAAAAAAAAAAAAAAAACACAGTTTTTAGCTGATGAGAATTGATTATACTCTATTCTATTCTACCAAATTAGTAAAGAAGTCAACACACACACACACAGAAAGAGAATGAAAGATAAAAAAAAAAAAAAAAATTCTTTTTTCTTTTTTGTGGGTGGTTTTGTTTCTGTCTTTGACTTGACAAAAGATTGCACTTACAGCAATGATGCTTGATTCCAATCCATGGCATGAGATGAAAGGCCTAAACCCATCATCATATGCAAGTTGGGGTCAGTGGCAGAATCTGGAGTTTGAAGCTTCTGGTTGTCATGGAAAACCACAGAAGAACTACCTGAGACAGACAAGGAATCAATGGAAGACCTTGGCTTCATGTCTTCCATATCTTGGTTTTGCCAAGCAAAGTTTCCAATGTTTGTGATGGCAGAGGAAGAAGACTGTGATGCCCCACTTTCAAACCTCACGTTTCTTGCTGAATCCCACCAGTTTCCACTTGCTTGAAATTGATCATCTGCCATGGTTTGATGAATGATGAATCTAACAAATGCTACACCTTCCTACTCCAATAGATACTCTCTGTGTGTGTTTGTGTATAGCTATGTTGTCTGGTTCTGCCTTCACTATCTATAAATTATGAAAATATATATCATGATAAAAAAAAATAGTTAAACTTTTCTGCTATATATGTGGTATTTGGGTGCACCAAATTCTTCAATGATCTACGTGTGTTGTTGTGACTGAGAGTGAGTTTGATAAAAATGAATGGAAAACGTTTCGCTACTTCTCAGTATTTATATTAGCTGAAGAGCGAAAGACCATGAGAAGAATGAATGAATGAATGAGGAGAGTAACCGTCTAACTGGAATATGGTTGACACTTTGATAAGACACAGGAATTAAATTAAAGTTTCATTTTTCAAATCGAATTTGGTTTGTTCCTATATATTATTATTTTATAGTTCATTTTTTTTTTTGCTTTTTTTTTTTTTTTCCAGTTGTTGGCTCATAGCTGTCTTGGATTTTTCATTGAAACTGAAATTTTGTTAAAAATGAAAACCTTTAAAAGTTTACATAAAAACTAAAATAATAAATAACTTAATCGTGCAATAGTTAAGACAGCGTGATCTCCACCTTATATATTCTCTTTCTTGGAACGAAAAACTTGTCTTTTCTAAACTTTTGTTTTCAACCAAAAAAAAGAAAAAATTGGGTTTATACATTGAATCAACGTTTTTCTCTTAAATATAATAGGCTAATATAAAGGGTACGCTATTAAAATTAGGAAATTAGGGATGTAATTCGGTCACATAGATTACGTACTAACCTATGTTAGGCCAAACTTGAGTTAGCATATGTCGTATTATTTATTTTAATTAAAATAAAATAATTATTCAAAAAATTAATTAATTTTTTTTAAGACTTGATAAATATTGAATGCATGATAGGCTTAACTAGATTAATAAGTCTAGACTCAATTTTTTTATTTTTAAATATAGATCAAATCGACTTACAATTTAGCTTAAACCAAATTAATATAAGGCAAATCAAACTGAAAATATTTTACATTGATTTGGTCTATTTAGACCAAAATTTAACATGATGCAGCCCATTTGTATCTTTACTTAAAATTACTTTAAAAAAATTAATTAATGTTAAAATTAATCAAAATATTTTTATTATAAAGAATAATTGAATATCAAAATATTACCCAATAATCAAATAAATTCTATCATATAAAAAGAAATATTTACTTAAAATCGAAAACATAAAAAATATAATTTAAGATTCAAGATGTCAATCTTGAAAACATGGTCAAAACTAAAACAAATATCAATGTCCAAGAGCAAGTGTCATTGTTTATCTTTTTCTCATATGAAGAGTTTGTAATAGCTAGCTTAGTGCTTTACTTTTGCAAATAATTGAAAAAAGACGCATGTATTGTTGGCCTGGCCTCGTTCATCCCAGGTTGCCTCTTTTGGGATTCTATAGAAGCTTTTCTTTGTTTAAATTTTTATGCTGAGTGAGGATGCGTTTTTTTTTTTTTTTTAACGAATCTATTCTTTATGTTATATTTATCAAAATGATGTTAACTGTTATTAATATACATATATTTAAACAAAAAGGTGAAGACGCTCTTGCCAATGATTATTTCCAGCGTAATGTTAGTTCACTTTTTTTCCTTTGTTTTTGTGTTTTTTTTTATACCCTTAATAGTATCTTTGTTTTGCGTTTCGGTAACGGTAACACATAAATAATTGATACCTTCTGCAATTACATGTTTCAAATTTATGGTCATTTTTTTAATTCTGTAGTGAAAATATAAAAAATTCAAAAGTTAATATTTTAACATTATATATGAGTATGAAACATTAAAATAGAGTCCTATAAGAAAGTGTCCTCATATTTGTGTATCATCAATTGCAAAAACAGCATGGACGACCAAAGCTCAAGGGTCGCTTCAAATGGTGGACGATTAGGGTGCTGCTTATTAGGGATGTGAAAAATAATTAAAAAACTGAACCGAACCATGAACCGAACCGAACCGAACCGAACCGCCCCTTACAATAATCGGTTTTTAAAATTCAGTTCATCAACCGAACCGGTTTTTAAAGAACCACTTCATGAATCGAACCGGTTTTTAGAACCAGTTTAAGAATCGAACCGAACCGTACTGAACCGTTTTCAAACCGAATCAAATTGATTTTTGTAACTTTATTTTTTAATTTTTTAAATTTTTTTCTTTTAAAAAAGAGGATTGACCCGAACCGGTTCCGAACCTGTTCTAAACCGAATCGAACTGTTTCAACCGAACCGAACCACTTCTGAATCGAATTATTTAACCAATTCGATTCGGTTTTTTAAAAAATCCAATTCAGTTCGACCCATGCACATCCCTACTGTTTACCGCTTACGTCTTACGTTGCAGCATTGCTGAACATCTACAGTGTACAAGGTTTTGCCGTGTGCGTTTAGGGGACTAGAGTAATTTATTAGACGAAGTTATCAAAAGTAATAAATAATAGGGAGATGTATTTCTACTATTATCGGAGAAAATACATTTCCTAACCCACAAAAACATAAATAATTTATTATTTATTTATTTTTCTAAGTGGCCCCACCATCATTTATTGTTCGCACGAAATGAATCACTTCTCCCATAAAAGGAGAAGTGTATTTCTCTAAATAATAATAACAATATTAGATTGTGAAAGTTAAGTGACCCATTCCACACGGACCAACTCCTGCATGGCCCTAAAGATCCACTAATCAAGACCTAGAGAATAAGCAAACACCTCCATTACGGTGGCAACTTAGGACTTTAACCATCTCCACAATCGCCAATGGCAAAAGGACAGACACATGATTCCAGTTATGCTTAAAAGGCAGAGCCCCTAAATAGGAATCCCGCATACGGATAGGTTGCGAAGGCCACCTCAATTCATCTATAAGACTTAATGGTAGAGCTAGCAAAACTACTCAGCCCGTGACGAAAAACTTGGCTAATTTTTTAAAACAAGGCACTGGCTGGAGTAGGGTTGGCAAAAATGAGTCAACCCGTCGGGTTGGCTCGTAACCCGCCAAAAATGAGTCGAGTTGGGTTGGCAAAAACGAGCTGCCAACCCGGCTCGTTTCAACCCGTGAAAAAACGAGCCAACCCGCGGGTCAAACGAGCCAGCTCGCGGGTTGAGTTTTTTTTTTATAAAAAATACAAAATATAATATACAAAAATGGACAAATCCCACACATGTTGTCATCATTTTTTTTCCTTCTTTAAACCTAAGTCCTTAATATTCTCACATCCATGCTATTTTTTATTGTTAGGCTGTGCTGACTCTGTTTGGTTCAAATATCTTACCCACTTGGTAGCAAGTGGTTCTGATTGTTTTTGGATGTTGATGCAAATTTGTTGTGAAGAAAATTTGAAACTAAAATATTTTACTTTTATTTCTCATTTTGTAACCCTTTGTTTAAGTTAATAGAAGCCACATAGCAGGTGCATTAATACTACATAGTCATTTTAATAGGCTGAAAACGAGCTAACCCGTGAGCAATTTTCGTGCCAACCCGCGAGCCAATTTTCGAGTCAACTCGCGAGCTATTTTTTCAAGCCAACCCACGAGCCATATTTTTGAGTCAACCCTCACCCGACTCGGGTCGGGTTGGGTTGGGTTTTCTATCTCATTTTTTTTTCGAGCCAATCGTAACCCGACTCGTTTTTTTCGGGTTGAATGCGAGTTGGGTCGGGTCGAGCCGGATTGGCCCGTTTTGCCAACCCTAGGCTGGAGCCAACGTGATTCCGCCACTAATTATGAGATTAAATGTCGTCATACTAAGGCGGCATAAATAGCCCAACCATTATATAATAGAGGCTTAAAGCCCTTGTATGATCATCTAATCCATCTTAACTTAAGCTTATTGATCAAATACTGACTTTAGCGTCGGATGCCTTGCAAGTATCTCCCCCATTTGTCCTAGCCAAATAAAGCTATCAGGATCAACTCAACGATCCCGTAGGTGTATCCCACGACAACATCCATACCAGAGCAGATCCACTCAGATTGCTATTGTCTGCAATCTAGCCAACTCCTTTTGAACTGATTTGTTTTTCATTAGGGGTAGAGTATGTCAATGTAATACTGATATAGAGAGCCAATGATGTGAAGCAAAAGTATGGAGAAGAAGTATTTATAGAAAATTCCCTCGTGTGAGTAATACTTGAGTCTAAACTTTTTTTTTCTTGTGGGCCTCACTAGAGAGTGATGCAATGCGCTTTCATTTGTGTGGGATGCTTGTATGCATAGGAAAGAGTAACCTAGTGTAATGAGAGAGCATTTGTCTCATTTTAGAAGTGCATTAGTTTAGTCCCATAATGAATTGTAATGGTCGGCCAAATGAATTAGGCTGGTAAAATCGATCGAGAACATATTCACTCACATAGATTAACAAAATTAATAAAATAAAATAGATTAAACATAATGTTACCACTCACTATTGCCATTTATTATTAGGGTTTTAATACTATCATGTTGCAAGAAAGTGGATATCTTATGCCATAGAAACACCAAGTGTGGGCCCATCGATTTTTCGAAGAAGAAAAAAATCACAGATTTCGAAGGCTGCAAAAGCATACCCAATTTCATGCAACATGATACTTATAAATCCCTTATTATTATTGTTGATGTGAAATGCCATTTATTATATGGGCTTTATTAATCTTATACAATAGAAGAGAAGTTCTCTCATATTATAAACACAACTATGTATGGGATTCACCTGCTTATAAAAATTAAAAAAAGAAGTAACACGAAAATCGATATATGTGTTGGAACAAAAACTCTCCAATAGCAAGGAAGTATATTGGGATTTATTATTTTTATGTTACATAAGAAAGAATCTATCTTCTACACACAAATTTAAGATGAGTTTCACTCTATTTTTTCTCCCTCTCCCCTAAAAGTAGACCTTATATGCCAAATGAGTCTGTCCTATTGCATAAGAAAACTATTACCTAAGGATAT